TGTGTCCAAAGTTTGGGGGTTTATAGCTTCTTTGCTAGATTTCTCTCTCTGTATTCCTAGAAGAATTGAGGATTTCATTGCTGAAGGTTATGGAGGAAGGTAGCTCAAGGGCAAAGCTTGGGTTCTTTGGAATTGTGCGGCCCGGGCTCTTTTATGGTCGATATGGAAGGAACGGAATAGTCGGCTTTTTGAAGATAAGTTGATTTTGTTAGATTCTTTTTGTGTGAATATTAAGCATCTAGCTTCTTGGTGGGCTTTTACTACACAAGAAAGTTTTTTGTAACTACAATCTTATTTTGCTTACATAAGATTGGAAAGCGGTGATTGTATAGAGCTTTGGGGACGGTTAGCTCTACCCTCTGCCTTTTGTTTGTATCCCCTTTAGGGGCCTTCTTGATTTGAATACACATTTTGTTTCTTATCAAAAAAATATATTTATGCCACTCAAAGATGATTTTTCCCAGTTAACTTTAAGGCCGGACAACCACTCAAAGGCCTTAATGGCTTCAAATAGGATCTTGAGCATCTCATCATCATCTTTATAGTGTCATCAGCAAATTGCAAGTGGGAGATGTGAATTGAATCCCTTCCCACTACAAAACCTTCGAACACTCCGTTTTGGTGAATGCTGTCCATAAAACTACTAAGCACATCGCTTATCAATAAGAATAGGAAAGGAGAAAGGAGATCTCCTTGCCTCAACCCTCTTGAAGCCTTAATTCTCCCTCTTGGTCTCCCATTAATGAAAACCGAAAAGTTATTGCCTTTAATACAATCGTTTATCCATTTAATCCACTTTTTGCCAAAGCCTTTCTGTCTGAGGACTTCTGAAAGAAAGATCCAATCAACTTTATCAAATGTTTTTTCCATATCGAGTTTCAAAATCCACCCTTTCTTCTTTCTACTCCTAATCATTCACCACTTTATTTGCAATGAGAATAGGATCAAGAATCTGCCTTCGACTTGAAAAAGCACTCTGATTACTAGAGATGGTAGAAGAGATAACTTTATTAAGCCTCTCTGCTAGCACTTTTGCCAAAATCTTATAAGTAGTGGTCATAAGGCTAATGGGACGAAAGTCTTTTACTTTCTCCACTTTGTCTTTTTCGGAACAAGACATATAAAAGTTTCCTTAATACACGAGTTCAGTTTGCCATTATCATAAAATTCAGCAAAGAATCTTGCAAAATCAGCCTTCAAGAACTTCCAGAATTCAATGAAAAACTCTGCTGTAAAGCCATCAGGCCCTGGGGCCTTATTCTTGCCAAGGCCTTTTAAAGCTTCCCAGATTTCTCCTTCCTCGAAATGTCTTTCTAACCAGATCCTATTCTGAGCGGAAATAGGTCTCCAATTGAAGCCAATTGGTAAAAATCGCTGCTGACCATCCTCTCTGTAAAGAAATTCAAAGTACTGCACAATTTCCATCTCAATATCCCTCAAATTCACAAGAGAGTTCCCTGCAGAATCTTGCATCTCAGAAATTAGAGTTTTTCTCCTTTTTGCTGCCAAGAATCTATGAAAGAATTTGCTATTTTCATCTCCTTCAGCCAACCACCTGATTTTACTTTTTTGGAGAAGATATTGTTCCTCTCGAATATAAAGATCAAGCAGATTCTGTTTTAAGGAACTTCTCTTCCCCACTTCCTCGATTTCTAACCCCGACTCCTCTTTTCCTATCAAGCAAAGAAATTTCTTCAATAAGTTTTGCTTCTGCAACCTTATCCTTTCTTTCTGATTGTGCCATTGCTTCAGAGCAATCTTCCGATTTTTAAGCTTAGCAGAAATAAGATAACCTGCCCACCTATAGGATCTATCTTCCAAAAGCTTGGATTCAATTAAACTGATACAGTCTAAAAGGGCAAGGCGCCCAAACAAATTCTCCTGAGTCCAAAAAAATAGGGTAGTGATCCGATGTAATACGTTCACCTCTATATACGAGAGTTATGAAAGAGGGAGTCCCATTCTGAAAGCAATAAATGCGTACTGTTATTTCCCATCTTTGACCATGTATACCGGCCATTGGATAAGGGAATTTCCTGGATTTCAAGCTCTTCAACAATTTTATTAAATTTCCTCATTGCCTTAGACTGCCTTCCACCCGAAGACTGATCAGAAGCCCATCTTGTGACATTAAAATCCCCTCCCATACACCAAAGTTTGATAGAGAATCCAGCAATATTACAAATTTCAGACCACAATTTCTTCCTTTCTTTGTAATTTGTTAGGCCATAAATGTTGGTGATACATATATCCTGCAAATTAGAAAAAGAGCACATTATGTTTAATGAAAAAACTCGTTCAAGGACTTCCTGAACAATGAAAAAACTCGTTCAAGGACTTCCTGAACAGCTACTTTGCTTTCATCCCATAACGTAATGAGGCCTCCCGATTTTCCAGCCGATACAATCTGAGGCCAGCCAATATCTTGAGAACTCCACGGTGACTTGATCACCATAATATCAATCTGTTGTAGCTTGGATTCTTGAATGAGTACTATGTCTGGACAATGCTTCAAGATAAGTTTCTTGATTTTTAACCGTTTCTTATAACAACATAGCCCATGGACATTCCATGACATAATCTTCATTGAGAAATCTGAATTGGGACCACCTTTATCCCCACGGATTCAAAGAAAGGAGGAATAGCAGTCTTGGTAACAAACTTTTCTTCCACTCTTTGGACTGACTGTTCAAGGTTGGAGTTAGAGAGATCCTTTTCTAAATAAAAAGACTAGGAAAGACTTCATCAGAAAGAAATTCGGATGAATTATCAAAGTTGGAAATAAAATTCATTCAATCAGGGGAAGGATCAGGGCTACTAAGATTCACATTAAGATCTTCATTTTCATCTTCGGAAAGTGCAAAAAAACTTGGAATTTTGTTGAAAGTGTCTTTGGTGGAGGGAACAAAGCCTGCTGAAGGGCAACCGGTAATTCTTTTTGGCCAAGAACTTTTCGATCTTCTCCCTCCTCCATTAATGTTTTCTTAATAAATTGGATTTCTAGTCGCTGCAAATTAGATTCGTCCTTCAGCTTTGGTTTGAATTTCTTCCGCGAATAGGAGAAAGGTAATGGGGGAATAAACTTTCTTGACTTATTTTTCATTAGCGTAGATTTTGGAGAATCATCAGGAATAGCAGCAGCCTTTTGGGTTCAGAAATTACGGGTTCATTTATTACGGAGAACCTTCTCTCCTCCCCCAAATCTCTCCCCAATAAATCTCTTTCCATATTTCCATTCGAAATTTAATTTGTTTGCAAATTCTCTTTCTTCATTAATAGCAATTCCGCCTCTTTCTTCACAAAGGTCCTCTGCCTTTTCTGATTCCACATGTGAATTTCTACAGAATTGTTAACTTCCCTCTGATTTCTAAGAGAATTCAAGTTAGCCTCAATCGAAAAATTGCTGTTGAAGCTATAAAAAGAATGTCTCTAAATGTTAGAAAAATTGTTTTGTTTTCCTTATGAAGTATATGTTCTGGAATTTTTTCACTTCATTTTGAATAATTAACTAGAAAGAGCCCTTAGTTTCCTACTGTTTTCTGGATCTCTAGTTAGGTGAAAATTTTCAACTTCCTTGGGTTTTGGAATATATTTGCGCATTTTATTGAAAAGTGTAGTAGATGGATGGAGTACGAGGGCACCAAGGTATTGGAATCCATTCACTTTGTTGCTTTTTATGGGATTCTACTTGCTGTATTTTGGATTATTTGCTTTTTGCAATTTCTTGTGATTGGGTTTGCTCGTAAGAATTTTGGCTGTTTAGTTCCTTTGCTTTGTTCCCCCCTCTTGGGTGATTTTATTTATTTTTTGTCTGCTTTGTCCTCTTTGCTAGCTTATGCTGTCATCTTGTACTTACGTCTCTCAAATTGAAAGTTTCATTTTATATAAAATTTCAGAGGTTGGCGGCACAATAAGTACGAACTCTTGTTTATCGGCATAACTTTTATTTTAATATGTTAATTATATTAAATGCCGATTCTATCTGGCCAATATGGATACTGTTACATCTAAGCTCGTAATAATTGGTTTGCGTCAGGTTCGCAACTATTTGCCACTTCCATCAATCAACAATGGTATCAAGGTCAGTTCAGTAAAATGCCTCCCACCTTGAAAATTTTTGTACGAGTTTTATGTTGTCTGCCGTTTTCACTTGTTCCTACGATTACGAGTATTTAGTTTAGAAAAATACTAGCCTACCCACTGGTTAGTGACTTTCTGATGTGTATTTTTATTGGCTTAAACATTTTAGTGGGATCCACTTATCTATAAATGCGATAGCAATAAACCGATAAAAATACGCTACATCAAAAGTAAGTAGGAACTGAATGGTGTAGAGGCAAAGTAATTTTGTTTATGGCTGTTAGCTCATTATTGAATACACTTTTTGAACACAAGGATTGTGTGGTAGTTTACTTCCATAGCATGAAACTCTGTCAATTATCAGTAGGTGTAGTACTTTCATGCCTATGTTGCATCCTCACACTAATGCCTATTTATAACTGCTAAACAAGGCAAGTTTTTTTTTGTGGATCATTTGGATTATTTATGCCATTTGTAGATGGAAGTTGGAATTGAAGACTGCCTGCATATCGAGTTTGAGTATAACAAAAGCAAGTAAGTGGAATAAATTTTCTGGCTCAGGGGTTTTTACCATACTTTTCTGATTTTTACCTCGCAACTTAATTGATGAATTTAAATCTTCAACGAAGTTTTGGTTCTTGTTACCTACAAAGATCAGACTTCTATTGGCGTTTATACAAGCGGGCCATGTTGGTTGTTTCATCAGATACCTTTGAACTTTTTAATTTTTTTGAAATTGAAAGCAATTCAGTGCGGAGCAAAGAAGGAAGGAGGAGGAACTCTTAGTTCCTTTTTTATTAAAAAATTATACATGAAAGTTATCTTAAGATTTTCTTTCTAATATGCCACCATTTTAAGTCCTTAAAATTGAAAAATTATATACAAGAAAGTCAAAGTGTAAAACGTTATCCCTTCAGAAACTGTATTGTTTTCTCCTCTTTTTTTAGATGAAGAGCAATTTGGTTTCTTAGTGAAGAAAATTGATGCATACAGGTACCATCTCAAAGATGTTATCATTGGCAAGATTTATTTCCTACTGGTGAGAATCAAGATAAAAAATATGGATTTGGAGATCCGGCGTCGAGAATCAACCGGATCTGGAGCTAACACTCACGTTGAGACAGAGACGTTGGCTAAGTATGAGCTAATGGATGGAGCTCCAGTTAGAGGTGTGCTCCAAATACTCCTCTTTTTTTGCATACCAAATGATAAACCTGATGCTACGAAGATACTCTAATGAAAGTCACTTTTATCACATCGTGTTCTAAAGATTGTCAATGAATCCAAAATCTTAAAACAGAACATGCTTGTTTCTGCAGGTGAATCCATTCCAGTCAGACTGTTTCTTAGCCCATACGAGTTGACGCCAACGCATCGTAACATCAACAACAAATTCAGTGTGAAGTACTACTTGAATCTTGTTTTGGTTGACGAAGAGGACAGACGCTATTTCAAGCAGCAAGAAATCACCATATATAGGCTTCAAGAGACTACCTGATTACTTCATCTCCAAACACTGTTACACAAAAGCAGTTTTTGGAAAGGAGAAAGATCAACAACTACTGGGAGCACTCTGTAAAGCTTTTGTATTCTGGAAGAGATCTTTTATTTCTTCTTGTGCAACCAAAATGTTTGACTGTGGTTGCTTTGGAATGGAATCTTGGTGAGAGCATTTCTTTTGGCTGGTGGTAAGTCTGATGTGTTTGATTGTATGAAACATGGTTACTAAATTGTTGCACATTTCGTTACGAGCGACGGGATCTGGTTTTCGGTGCTTTAGTTATTGTAGATCGTATTTTCGTGTTGTCGGTGTAGATCTTTTATTTTGTTCCCACTTTTTTCTTAACTCTGCATATTGCTCGACAATTCTTTTGTTGATCAGAAGAAATAATATTATGCTTCTAGGATGCCTCAACTTCTCTTCTATTTCTGGTTACTTAACTTGAATAGTCATATATGATCTAAAGAAAAGAAGAGATATTCAAAAGGAGTATCAATTTTCACCATAAATTTTTAATTTATCAAATTAGACTTAAATGTTTATCTTAGGTTCAATTTTTGCTAATTTTAACAAAAAGCAAGGTAAAAGTCTCTAGAAAGTTGACCAATTTCAATGTAATATCGAAACTCATCAATTTCATATAATAAAAAACTAGTTATAATGTTGGTTTTTTTTTAATTTTTTTTTTTGAAATTCTATTAATTTCATACAATACCTATTTTGATTACTTTTACTTATCAAATTTTTTAAAACAGAAATTGCAACTATTAATCAAGTTTAAGGTATATATTGCAGTAGTTCAAGTATAAGATAAAGATTAAACTTTACGATCAGTTTAAAAGTTGCAATGGGGTGAAATTAACAGTTAAAAATGTAAAAGTTAAATGTTCAATTTGATTGAATTAGACATTTGATCTTGAGTTTGACTTTTTTTTTCCTTTTTTTTTATCATCTTGTTAAAAGATTATTTTGAAAATTATCTTGGAACATAAAAAAATTGTTGGGTAGGCCAACAAGTTTTATACAAAAGAAGGGAAGAGACTCCCTAAATTGAGGAGAAATTACTGGAAAATTAGCATGCATGACCCATTTTAGTATCACTCGCAAGATTTTTGTCTAATTTTTTAAAACATAAGTTTTCTATACACTTGCTAATGTAACTTTTATGTGAATTACTTCCGTTATCCTTTCTCAAATCACTCATTCTTCTCTATGTTCTTCTCATGCAATTATTCTTATTCTTCTCTCTACCTCCTCCAGATCTTTTCCTTCTTTCTCTCTCCCTCTCCCTCTCCCACAATTTTTCTTATTCTTTAATGACGTCTGTTTGGGGATGAAAATACCCTGGACACGTGGGGGACCCCTATTGGTGCTCCAAGATGACTCATGAGTCATGCCCAGCTCGGACGGCCGAGACCACCACTACTAGCATTGATAGATGCTAAGTATGAGGGCCGAGGTGAACC